GGCACCATCAGCTTTCTTTGCCACATTTGCTTATGCACCCATTTGTCTTCAGCAATCATATCATGGAAGTTTCTTTTTTGATGACGAATGCTATAGAATTCCTTGTAAATTTGTCAGTTCTGTCATAGTAAATCATATTATTTTCTGATTCCAAATGGCTAATACCAGTGCAATTCAGCTTAATAATCTTTTTCTTTTTTTGCAGGATTTCCAGTTTATACTTTTAAAACATCCAGAGCGGGAGAAGACACCTGCTCCCCATCTTTACAGCTTCCTTCCTGGGGTTGCCCTAGATGCAGTCACTTTTTGGTCCAAAACCATTTGTACTGCTCCATGTCAAAGTCGTCCTTGAGTTCGGGCTCTTCTTTCTTTCCTCCGAACTTGGCCTCCCGTTTCCTGAAGCGGGCCCTTCTCTCTTTAGGAGACAGCTGGTCAATGTCTATAGGCACCACCAGCAAGGGCCAAGGCTCTCTGTAGCAGATGTGGGTGGTGGAGCCATCCTGCTTGACCAGGAGCACGGGGTAGAGACCCAGGCAGGCCTTCCTGCTGAGCCGGTGAATGAGGCCTTGTTGCATTTGGCTCCTCCCGGGGAAGTGTGCAGGTGGCAGGAGGAGGGGCCAGCTCTCTAAACTAGACTCTGCTGAAGCAGGCCAGACAGGCTGCCCACAAGTGCGCACGCACCTACAGGCACCCCTGGCCCTGGTGTGTGACCAAATACCATCCCTGTCAGATAGGGGCAGATAAACAGCTGCTCACAGGGTCACAGAAGAGTCCAGGCCCAGGGTCCTCTTGCTGCAACACCCTAAGATCCGCCGCCCAACTTAATAATCTTTACAGTACTGATCTTTATGCATCCTATTTTTGACAACTTTTAGTTTTCCTAGATACAGTCTTTGTACATTTCATATTCGAATTATTTTTTGGCACCTGTTTCTTCTCAGTTTGAGTCCTGACCCATCAGTCAATACAGGTCCTTCAGGCTTTGGTCCCCACAGGTTTTACCCATCTGAGTCATTATGATCAATTCTATTTTGATAAGGGACTTCCTCAGTCTAATCCCGAATGCCTTCTGGCCTGGAGAGCTCATTTATGGCAATATTATTAACTGCTTTATTTTACATCATAGCATGGAGAATTTTTGCCCAGATAAGTTGACATCAAATCTATCATGTTATCATAGACTTGGAGTTTTTACATAAATTTTCTCTATTTTATCATTTTTTAAAGTAAAATGTTTCATTTAGGTCACAAGAGAGTTTCTTAAGAGTTCCTAATATTTTTTGTTTTATTTTCTTTACTTAGAATTTATATCCTGCCTATTTCTGAAAAGATTCCAAGTGGTTTATTAATTTTGTTAGGGATAGCTAAATATAGCAGAGGAAACGAGGTGAATAGATACCAAGGTGAGATGATTGTAAGAATGGGGCACTGATCCTTGCTATAATGTTCTTATACATTCTTAGCCAGAACAAAGAAAAAACCTCATGGGAGTATAGAAATTTAATCTGACTAAAGAAACCATTTGAAAATTACAACTTTTGTTATTATTTATGTTTCCTTTTTAATTGGTCCTAGAATTGATTAGATGCCAGTGAATTTTTGTTGGTCTGGTTGAGTTAAAATTGACTTTGTATTTGTTATCTCATTTAAGGGACTTTGTAAAACAAATACTAATTCTGTTCAAATTGTTAACTCATGGAGATTGATTGATTACCAGCGTTTCTTTAAATGTTTGTTAGCCAGCCTGAGTGTCTTCTTTAATTAACTGTTTATGTTCTCTGCCTAGTTTTAAATTGGATTATTTTTCTTTCTCTTATTGAGATCAAGTTTTCTGTAGAGTTTAGAAATTATTCCCTTGTCTGGTATATATTATTGAAAAATTTCTCCCAGTCTGTGGATTCTCTTTTTAAGAAGTATTTTGAGCTACATAAATGTTTTA